TGGAAGAGATGTTAGTGAGACCAACAGGGGGTGCTCACCCTGTGGTCTGTGTGGGTCCTAATGCCGCAGTATAGTGATGGGGACACTATACTGTTAAAAAAAAAAAAAAGTCTTTCGGATGAGACGTTAAACCGAGGTCCTGACACTCTGTGGTCATTAAAAATCCCATGGCACTTCCCATAAAGAGTAGGGGTGTAACCCCAGTGTCCTGGCCAAATTCCCTCCACTTATCAATCATGGCCTCCTAATAATCCCGATCCACTTGATTGGCTCTGTGACTCTCTCTCCTCTCCACCTGTAGCTGGTGTGTGGTGAACGCACTGGCGCCGTTGTCCTGTGGCTGCAGTCACATCATCCAGGTGGATGCTGCACACTAGTGGTGGTTGAGGAGAGACCCCTCATATGATTGTAAAGAGCTTTGGGTGCACAGAAATACACAATAAAGCGCTATATAAATGCCTCATTCATTCATTCAAGTTCACATAGACCGTGATGGCAGAAAGTGCGTCATGTTTGCTTTCATTATTTTGCAAAATTTTGAGAGCACACAAATAAACGTAGAGTCTTTACAGATTCGAAAGATGTATTACTCTTATCTGAATGAGCAAAACTGACTGAGTATTTTAAGAGCAAGTGAGCGCACCGGCGCCTCCATCTGTCCTGCAGTGAGCGCTACTATTCAGCTTTACACTCCACACAGACACTTGAACAGCGGACATTTCTCTAAGTTAACAAATAGATTGAGTGCCCAAGTAAAGTTCCTAATACTTACATATTTCAGATGATAATCCATATTTTAGGTCGATGAATGATAGGCGAGCGTTTGGATGTCTTGCCCGATGTAGCCTACTGTATTACCACATAGACCAGCCGTTAACAATCTGTCCATCACGGACTGCGTGACTTCGCCTGTGGATTTTTGTAAAAAAAAATTCTGCGACTAAGCGACTAATGAAATTTTGGTCGACCAAGCATCTTCTCGTTGACTAACGGTTAGTCGATTATTAGGGGGCAGTCCTAGTTATCAGGGTGTAATACGCACCTGTATTGGAAAACACGGCGTATCTCTGCTGCAGGTGCGTGTGCAGTCCGCTCCGGTCTTAAAGGCCGCTGTGCTGGGGCTCTGAGGGGTCAAGGTCAGGTCATGATCGATCCACTGACCCCACTCCACCAGCAGATGAGACAGAGACATGTCCAGAGAGATGTTCTCGTTATGAGTGTACAGAACCTCCTGCGACACGCTGCGGACCTGCACAGAGACAATAAGATCTGATTGAATCTGGAAGACTTATTTGGTCTTATTTCATCTTTAGTTTTTTTTATTATTATTGGCATTGATGGTTCTATGAAGAACCTTTAACATGGAATCTTTCCATTTCACAAAAGCTTCATTATAGTAGAAGAAGGTTCTTTAGAATATTAAAATATAAAAAGAGAATTTTTATGCAATAAACTACTAGGGGTGTTGAAATGAATCGTGTCTATGATACATCGTGATGCTGCGGATGTGGTCGATTCTGCATCGATGCAGTAATAGGCCATAATCGATTATAGTTTATCGATTATAATTCAAATGAAATTAAAAGAGTAAAATTTTTGTTTATTGTTGCGCTAGGATTAATTTATTCTTTAATATTATTTTATTAAATGATTTTACTAAATTTTTATAATAATTAATTATATTATTTTAATAATTTTGTTTATATTTTAATCATTTTAATAATAATAATAACAATGTAATTTGTAATGTTGTTTTATTTATTTATTTAACCAATTTGGCACCATTTCCCATTGTATATAGTATGTATTATTATGCACAATATCTCATTATATGTAAACACTTTAACAATATGAATTTAAATGTATTTTTCAGGCTAATAAAGCACACTAAATTTCAAATTGAAGAAGAAAATCAATAACATTTATATAAAAGCCAAAACAACAACTATGATTACATCAGTCAGTCTTACAGGTGGTAGTGTGTGGTTGTGGTAGGTGTGTTGTGGGTTCCAGCCCCTGGGGGCCCCTCGAGGGTCCTCATAATCCGGTGACAGCCAGCGGGCGTAAGGGGTGTTTGCTGCCCCCCATTGAGGGTTTCCTCTGCAAAGTCAAAAACAGCATTGATAAAAGGAAATACGATGCTTTCTGAGAACAGAAACTGAATGAACAATGATATATTTTGTTATCGAGTGCACCTGTTGTTGCAGTGTCCTGAGATGGTACTGTAACGTTTGGACAGACAGTCAGATTTACACACGGGTCTCAGTGTCTCAGAGGAACAGCCTGTAACCTGCAGTATGGTCTCCATGTCTTCTGCACTTAAAAGCTCTGAAAGGCACACATCAGATGTTGATACGACTTCAAAATCATGTACTTGTAAATGGCCCAAATGTCTGTGTGTGTGTGTGTACCGGTGAGGTCGGGTATGTCCATGGAGTGTGTGTAAACCAGCTCTCTAATCAACTCTACCGTATTATCCAGAAACTCAGCAGATCTGACGTGGGTTCTGGTTTTGGGGCCGGTTTGTTTGAACAAGGCCATCAGATCACTGGGTCTGACAGAACCGTCTGATACGGACGTCTTCACTCTGATAGAAATGAGAGAGCAGACACAAAACATAAGATAGAAAATAAATCATTTTATACTTCTGTAATCTTATTGTATGACAACTATTGACTCATTTGGGTCTATTTTTGTCTCAATTTCCTTTATTGGCTGATCCTTAAATCAAATGAGCTTTGACTTTGACTAAAGTCTCACCTGTCATTGGTGTGAGCGTACGTGGCGTCTGTCAGCTCTCTGGCTCTGCGTAAAGCTTCCTGGATGAAACTAGATCCCAAATACATTGAAAAACACCATAAAATATTTCAATTCAAAACCTGCCATTCAGTTTTGATATCAAAGTTGACAAAAATGCAATAATGGAATTCAAATGTCTTACTGTGAACTTTATATGTAACTGACAGTTGTACTGTATAGAAAGCAAGAAGCTACAAATTTCTGAAGTTCTTTCTTTTTTTCCCCCTACCCAGAACAATATTAACTGGATCTATAAAGTATACTTCAGTACCTGTTGTATTCTGGGAAGGAAAATGAGATGGGGCTGACAGCGGCAGACACAATATCACAAGTATAGATAGAATCAAGCATGAGAAAGATTCCTGCAATGAGAATAATATACATAATAATATACTGTACAATTTATTTTTTAAATGCAAGAATATATATATATATATATATATATATGTGTGTGTGTCTGTGTGTGTGAAAGCTTCATTATAGTAGAAGAAGGTTCTTTAGAATATTAAAATATAAAAAGAGAATTTTTATGCAATAAACTACTAGGGGTGTTGAAATGAATCGTGTCTATGATACATCGTGATGCTGCGGATGTGGTCGATTCTGCATCGATGCAGTAATAGGCCATAATCGATTATAGTTTATCGATTATAATTCAAATGAAATTAAAAGAGTAAAATTTTTGTTTATTGTTGCGCTAGGATTAATTTATTCTTTAATATTATTTTATTAAATGATTTTACTAAATTTTTATAATAATTAATTATATTATTTTAATAATTTTGTTTATATTTTAATCATTTTAATAATAATAATAACAATGTAATTTGTAATGTTGTTTTATTTATTTATTTAACCAATTTGGCACCATTTCCCATTGTATATAGTATGTATTATTATGCACAATATCTCATTATATGTAAACACTTTAACAATATGAATTTAAATGTATTTTTCAGGCTAATAAAGCACACTAAATTTCAAATTGAAGAAGAAAATCAATAACATTTATATAAAAGCCAAAACAACAACTATGATTACATCAGTCAGTCTTACAGGTGGTAGTGTGTGGTTGTGGTAGGTGTGTTGTGGGTTCCAGCCCCTGGGGGCCCCTCGAGGGTCCTCATAATCCGGTGACAGCCAGCGGGCGTAAGGGGTGTTTGCTGCCCCCCATTGAGGGTTTCCTCTGCAAAGTCAAAAACAGCATTGATAAAAGGAAATACGATGCTTTCTGAGAACAGAAACTGAATGAACAATGATATATTTTGTTATCGAGTGCACCTGTTGTTGCAGTGTCCTGAGATGGTACTGTAACGTTTGGACAGACAGTCAGATTTACACACGGGTCTCAGTGTCTCAGAGGAACAGCCTGTAACCTGCAGTATGGTCTCCATGTCTTCTGCACTTAAAAGCTCTGAAAGGCACACATCAGATGTTGATACGACTTCAAAATCATGTACTTGTAAATGGCCCAAATGTCTGTGTGTGTGTGTGTACCGGTGAGGTCGGGTATGTCCATGGAGTGTGTGTAAACCAGCTCTCTAATCAACTCTACCGTATTATCCAGAAACTCAGCAGATCTGACGTGGGTTCTGGTTTTGGGGCCGGTTTGTTTGAACAAGGCCATCAGATCACTGGGTCTGACAGAACCGTCTGATACGGACGTCTTCACTCTGATAGAAATGAGAGAGCAGACACAAAACATAAGATAGAAAATAAATCATTTTATACTTCTGTAATCTTATTGTATGACAACTATTGACTCATTTGGGTCTATTTTTGTCTCAATTTCCTTTATTGGCTGATCCTTAAATCAAATGAGCTTTGACTTTGACTAAAGTCTCACCTGTCATTGGTGTGAGCGTACGCGGCGTCTGTCAGCTCTCTGGCTCTGCGTAAAGCTTCCTGGATGAAACTAGATCCCAAATACACTGAAAAACACCATAAAATATTTCAATTCAAAACCTGCCATTCAGTTTTGATATCAAAGTTGACAAAAATGCAATAATGGAATTCAAATGTCTTACTGTGAACTTTATATGTAACTGACAGTTGTACTGTATAGAAAGCAAGAAGCTACAAATTTCTGAAGTTCTTTCTTTTTTTCCCCCTACCCAGAACAATATTAACTGGATCTATAAAGTATACTTCAGTACCTGTTGTATTCTGGGAAGGAAAATGAGATGGGGCTGACAGCGGCAGACACAATATCACAAGTATAGATAGAATCAAGCATGAGAAAGATTCCTGCAATGAGAATAATATACATAATAATATACTGTACAATTTATTTTTTAAATGCAAGAATATATATATATATATATATATATATGTGTGTGTGTGTGTGTGTGTGTGTGTACTTTTTGTTGCACTTACCAACCATGTTGTATCCATCTGTACGGTCTTGTATTCTCACTCTTGTTCTTGTAAAATATGTAACATTTTGTTCTTGCTTCAGACGAAAAGTATATGTAGGCTTGTGCACATTAATGTACAAAAATATTGTAAAAAATAACAATGAATACAGAAAATAAATATGTTCAGTTAAGTGTTTAAATATATAAGTACTAATACATCACCATCTGAACTATTATATGGTGTGTGACTACAATTCTGTGTAATTATGCGTATGAGAAGGTTTAAGTCGGGGACTGAGTTTTATATGCTGGCTTTGGTCTGCAGGTATGTGCAGAATTCTGTTATCTGTGTGACTGGTGACAACAATTCAACATCAAACAATCCCGAACACACACGGGGTGACTGTCCCGCCCTAATAACCTCTCGATCCAAACACATCATCCTCTATCTAATGGGGTTAACGACACAATCACTCCTCGTGTAAGTCAAAGAAAGCCACTGCCTTCTGAACAAAATGTGAGCAGTGGTTGCTAAGGTGCTCTAGAGGGTTTAGGGTGTTTTGGGTGGTTTCAAGATACAGCTTGAAATTCTGTGGGAGTTTTTCGCCCAGTTTTATGATCTTATTATGGTCTAAGTAAAGTAACAGCACAGCTTTTCTCAAGAAAACTCAAAAAATGATTTGAGGAAACATTCACGTCTGGAGCACAAATGCTGCAGGATGACACATACTGAACCTTAAAGGAACAGTTCACCCAAAAATGAAAGTTTGCTGAAAATGTATGCACTCTCAGAATATCCAATATGTAGATGAGTTTGTTTCTTCATCAGATTTGGAGAAATGTAGCATTGCATCACTTGCTCAGCAATGGATCCTCTGCAGTGAATGGGTGCCGTCAGAATGAGAGTCCAAACAGCTGATAAAAACATCACATTAACTTTAAACCATTGCTTCTGGCCAAAATAGAAGTCCATAATATATAACAACACTTCCTTCAGTCTAAAAGTTCATCTCAAGTTGTCCTCTCACAACAAAATCCACCCACATATTCATTTAGGACTGTTTCGGCTTCGTTCATCCACTTCTTGATCAGTGCATATTTCTCTCCTGATTCAGACGAGATGACTTTTTCACTAGAAGAAGCAATATTATGTATTATGGACTTGTATTTTAGCTGGAAGCGACTGTTTAAAATTAAAATGCCTTAATGATGGATTTGTTTCCTACAAACATGCAGTTTTTAATTTCTCAAGACATTAACTGATGGACTGGAGTGGTGTGGATTACTTGTGGATTATTGTGATGTTTTTATCAGATGTTTGGACTCTCATTCTGACGGCACCCATTCACATCCATTGGTGAGCAAGAGATACAATGCATTTTTCCAAATCATTTCTGATAAAGAAACAAACTCATCTCAAGTGGCCTCAGGGTGAATAAATTTTAAGCAAATTTTCATTTTTAGGTGAACTGTTTCTTTTAACATTTAGTGTTAGGAGTTTATTGTCAATGTTTCCCGTAATCCGCCTTTTTCTGCCCACCTGCGGATGACACTTCTGCTGGCACAGGGACGATCTGATAGAAGACACACCTGGAAAAGAGGTCAGTGGAGCAACAGAGAAAAACAGACAGTTCTGAAAGTCTGATAAGAGAAATTGGAAAGTGAGGAGAACTTCGGGGATTCCAGGACGATGACTTTAAAAGGCTGTTGTTCTCGGCGGGTTTGATGCAGCACTCAGGATGAGTGCGAATATCTTCACACGTCTGACGGGAGCACGTGTCTCACGGACCTACACAGGAAACCAGTGTTAAGCTGGCACAAGATGTAAATGTGTTTGTGTAGCGCAGCACGTCCATTTACAATCCAAATCTAGTGTCAGTGCAAAAATAATGAGCTTAATAAAATCCTCACAAATTCATTGCTAATACTCTTTCCATGCATTCAAATTATGTTAGTTTGCATGAAGAGCAATGAAGAGAGATTCTCTCAGGCATGCGTTCAAAGGAACAACACTTTCGACACAGTTATAAATGAACATGATACTCATATTTATTGTGCTTTTCATGAAGAGCAGCCTGTTAAACCAGCTGAGCCACATGGCATTAGTTACAAAAACTCTTTTAGTTCATACATTCACAATTATTTATAGTTATCTCTGTTAAAAGAACACAGCTTTGTTAGCTTTCCCTTGTTTGACAAGGTTCTCAAATTTCATTAAGGCTATTAATTAGATAAATATATATGCATTTATTATATATATATATATATATATATATATATATATATATATATATCA